TTCGTATGTGGGGTCCGACAGTGCTTCCTTCTTCACAAGAATGTATATTAATTTCTTCTGGATCAATGATTTTCACGGTAATATCACTAGTCGTCCCAACAGAAACTGGAAAATGATGAATAATTACAGCCAATTCCATGATCTCGTATCCAGTGGGGCATTGGCGTTGAACTAATGGATCGAATGGACTGGTTCACCATTCAAATAACTTTCAATGGCCGAGTTACAATTCACAAAAATAGTATCAACGTCATGAATCTTGACCCGATGGTTTGATATACTCTTTCCATCTGCATCCAACACTCGTTCACTCAACCCGAGCAGTCACCAAATCGTATTATCCACTCGGAAATTAGTTCGACGATCAGATTTCATAGTCACATTGGAAGTGATCAAATTATGTATAATTCAAATAACTGATTAGTCGTATTTATTACTCATAGCATTCGAATCTGAATTCATCGTTCTCATTCCAAATAAGAATATTATTTGTCCCATCAATACTTGGTACTGAGTGTGAACTGTCAGAATCCACTAGTCCAATTTCGTATCCGTTTTCATCGTCAGAATAAATTGGACAATTAAGATCATCGGTGAGAATCGATGAACGACTCCTTACTGTAAGAGTCGAAGACGTCGTTTAATTAGAACTAACTATAATACTAACTACTATAGGCATTCCTATGTGTTCCATTTTCTAAATCAGACTTAAAATTCAAGATTTTCGACTTATTTCCCGTCATTCTTGAAGGGAGTCTGACTTTTATGAGAACCACTCTAAAATAGGGTTATTCAAGAATGTTTTCAGTTCTTTCCAGGTCAATTCAGTCAGCGATTTTCGGAAGTCTTGTTACCACCAATTTTCGTAACTACGTAGTGAAAAGTGAGGATCCGTTAGCTTTCTCATTGTGGTCTCTCCGAAAGAGATTCGGAAAAAGTTGTTGTTCGATAAAATAGAGGAACATCGTCACAAGAATCAACCGAGGTGAAAATGCCTGGGAAATAGAACGCGAATATTCGAATCACTTCATTTTGTAGATTTTCGAGAACAAATTCTACCCTTTTCAAAACGTCAATGGATTACGACCCTCAGTCTATTTTTTTTTCTCATCATACTGAACCTGAAACTCACACTCCTCAGATCAACCCTGGAAACAATTATTTTCCAGAGTACATGCAGATTTTGGATAACCGTCAAGGATTCGACTCTCTTGTTTACCAGTCACTCGTCAAAATTTCCTATAGTTGGAATTCTTCGAGATACAACTGCACCTACGATACAAATGTGTAGGTAAGTATTCATCACATTTGGAATACCTAGATATTTTGTTTCAAACAACGGATCTACATTCGCTTCGGGATCATTTTCAGATATTTTTCAAATGCATAGTGTTATTCCAGAGAACACAGCACCTTATAATTCATAAACAAATGAACATGTGAAACATTTCGTACAAAAACTTGAGGAATCGTTGAAATCTCAGAGATATAACAGCAATATGAACTGCATAATAACAATTGTTAATGCGATATAGGGAAATGCCACATGGAAAACTGTTCTACATCAGAACTTATGTTCAACGGAAGAACAAGATGATGATTGGATCTTGAAATTCCACATCGAAATGAATATATGGATGTGAATGGGAGAAAACAGAAAAACAGTGGAGTGTAAAAATTATACTAGAGAAACCAAGTGAACATTTGTCACCGTAGAGGGAAGGTTAGGAGCATCACCTCATCAGTTATAAATGGATTATGGTGAAATACGATAGAGACTTAATCAATCAGTTGCAATCGATAGGACCACAAACTGAAGCTATATCTGATGGTTCTGATTCTGAGTTTGATATCAAATATCATCACAGTTATACGAAGATCGCAGTGGCACATCAGATTACAGTTGAATTGAGGAATGATTTTCAACTTCGAAGTGACTAGTTTATTCCTTTTCGGAAACAAGAAGTGCAATAGACGAGTGAATTTCAAGAACTCAGTCGCTTAGTTCCAGAGAAGAATAGAACTGACATAGAATCATACCAGACTTTGAGCATTTCTTCAAGTAGGTGGTCGGGTACACGAAATCACGTTCTTATTTCGATTTTCTAGCTGTCGATGATTTCGAGATTTCAAAAAATGTCGTAAAATTTTATTCGAATGTAGAACATGTGCTCTCACAATAGTGCTGAGAAGCTTACTCGTTTTTTGGATCATAGAGGACAAAGTAATGCTTCTATAACCTTGTGATTATGATATATATCCATAAAGATTATCGATAACAAATTATGTTGAAAAAACAGTAGGTTTCGTGTAGAAAGGCTAGAGCTCAGTTGAAGATAAACTTGTACTTTCCACTCTTATTCAAAGATCAGAAAATTCGTACAATCATACAATATATCATCCTCCATCAACAACATTACCTATCAGAACACTTAATGTGATCACCACGTTCACTATAGGCATACCTATGTGTTCCATTTCCTGAACCAGACTTCCTGCCTAACCCTAGACAAGATATTCGTAAGATATCGAGGAATCCAGGTCATGAGGAAAGACGTGGTTTTTCTGAGAATAAGCCGAAACAATGGCCAGCACAGAATAGAAGAACGTCTCCGATTCGAAGAGAGCCAGCGAGAGCCGTAGACCGACCGGCAAACATTTCACAAAACCAACCCCCGCGACCTTTGCCAGAAAGAACCCAACAGCCGACATGACGTACAGATAGCCTTTGTTGGAACTGTGGAGAACACGGGCACACCAGATTCACGTGTAGGAACCCACCTAGGAGATTCTGCTCGGGGAGCTGGAGACAGTGACTCTTATCGAGAGATTGCTGCCGTCGCCCTGGACAAGCCCCGGTTTCAACCCCGATACCCACAAGCTCGAATAACACAGCAGAGATGTCTCTCGTGACTGCGAGGAAGAACAGGAGACACCAGATTACGACTCACGGTTCGGGTAGGCCCTACATGCCTGGAAGCATTGTTAGATACAGGAGCTTAACGATCATTTCTGGGCGATAGTACAGCGGAAACAGGCCGACGACTGTGGTGGACAGTTACTAAAGCAAACACCGACCTGGCCCGTTTGGCAAATGGAAATTTGGTGGTTCGTTATAACGACAAAATGGTAGCCTTCCTGGTAGGGTCTCATTTTACGAATCCCAAAGACGATAGACGCACATTGCTTTTCCGTAGCTGAATACTTTCTCTCGAGTTCATTTAGTGTCCTTTTTTTTTATCGATTGGAGCGCACGAAAGGGAATCCCTATGCCACCACACGATCTTGTCCATCGATCTTTTGTATCAATGCGGCTCCCAGACCCACATCTGAGACATCGGTTTGAAGATAGAAGGTGTTTGGGGAATCAGGATTGACCAGCACTGGGGACATCGTCAGGGCTATCTTCAAAGTGTCAAATGCTTCCCGTTGGCGAATTGTCCATTCCCATTTGGTTTGTTTCCGTAGTAGCTGATTTAGAGGTGCCGCTATACGAGCATAGTCCTCAATGAACCTTCTGTACCAAGAGGTCACGCCCAGAAAGCCTCTCAGCATTTTGAGATTCCGGAGTGGCGGTATTTCTAGGATTGATCTCACCTTATCTGGGTCCGTCTTCATGTCTCCTTGGCAGACTACATGTCCTAGGTATTCCAGCTCCTGCTTACAAAAATGACATTCGTCTGAATTTATTAACGAATTTGCTGCGTACAGTCTCTCGAAAACAATTTTCAGGTGTTCCATATTTTCTTATGATAACTTGCTGACGATTATTATGTCATCTAGGTATGCGAATGTGAACGACAGTTCTGGGCCGATTACCCTATCCAGGAGTCGCTGGAACGTACTAGGGGCTGCATGCAGCCCAAACGAAAGGACCATGAACTGGAAAAGTCCTCTTCCTGGGACAGTGAACGCAGTGACTGGTTCACTTTCTTCTGCCAGGGGAATCTTTCAATATCCATCTTTGAGTCTGTGATTCAAGATACGTTTCACTACGCCACTAGTTTCACACCGCCCCCGTCCCCGTTCTCACCCAGGTTCCGTATCTCCCGGCCATATGAGATCATTTCAGTTTCATCCAACTCGTGCCTGTGATTTTGAACACGTTTCACTACGCAACTAGAATCACACCGCCCCCGCCCCCTCTTTATTGATTCCAGAATTATCTCTGATACTGTGTACGATATCCCGGTATTTTCAACAAGACTGGACTCGTGCCTGTGATTTCAGACATGTTTCACTACGCTACTAGAATATCACCGCCTCCGCCGCCTCTCTATTGATTCTCGAATTATTATTCGTCCTGTGTAAGAAATCCCGGTATTTTCAACAAGGCTGGACTCGTACATGTGATTTTAGACACGTTTCACTACGCTACTAGGATCACACCGCATCCGCCGCCTCTCTATTGATTCCTGAATTATCTCCAGTCCTGTGTAGGATATCTCGATATTATCAACAAGGCTGGACTCGTGCTTGTGATTTCAGACACGTTTCACTACGCTACTAGAATCACAGCGCCCCTGCCGCCTCTCTACTGATTCTCGAATTATCCTTGGTCCTGTGTAGGATATTTCGGTATTTTCAACAAAGCTATACTCGCGCCTGTGATTCCCGACACGTTTGACTACGATACTAGGATCACTCCGCCCCTGCCGCCTCTTCATTGATTTCCGAATTATCTTCAGTCTTGTGTGGGATATTTTGGTATTTTCAGCTAGGTCTCACTAGTACCTGTGATTTTCGACACGTTTCACTACTCTACTAGAATCACAACGCCCCCGCCGCCTCTCTACCGATTCCCGAATTATCCTCGAACCTGTGTAGGATATCTCGGTATTTTCAATAAGGCCCTGCTAGTACCTGTGATTTTAGACACGTTCCACTACGATACTAGAATCACCCTATCCCCGCCGCCTCTCAATTGTTCCTAAAATTATCCTCGGAGATTGCTGCCGTCGCCCTGGACAAGCCCCGGTTTCAACTCCGATACCCACAAGCTCGAATTACGCAGCAGAGATGTCTGTCGTGACTGTACCTCTGCGAGGAAGAACAGGAGACACCAGATTACGACTCACGGTTCGGGTAGGCCCTACATGCCTGGAAGCATTGTTAGATACAGGAGCTGAACGATCATTTCTGGGCGATAGTACAGCGGAAACAGGCCGACGACTCGGGTGGACAGTTACTAAGGCAAACACCGACCTGGCCCGTTTGGCAGATGATACAGAGGTGACAATTTCCGAGGCTCAGATGGTGCATGAAAGAATAAAGGAATTCGAATTCAGTGGAATTTTCCTGAAGGAAATGGCAGGCCATATTAGATTTCAACCAATGAAGGATGATCCTAGACCAGGACACTTCTAGTCAAGACGATACATCACCAGTGTTAGCTCAAGTTTCGCAAAATAATGCAGAGGTCATAATTCGAGATTTTCTGGAAAACTACAACAGTTCAAACGTCCTCGAGAAGTAACTCACCTGACCGAACACCGTATACGACTGAAGGAAACTACTCCAATCAAGCAGAGGTATCGCCCGAGAAATCCAGCCATACAAGCAATAATCAACCAAGAGGTGGATAAAATTCTGGCCGAAGGAGTAATAGAGACGTCAGACAGCCCGTGGAGTAGTTCGATCGTGGTTGTACGGAAGAAAGATGGTCGCTACTGTTTCTGTGTGGATTTCCAAAAAATCAACGAGGTGTCTGAAAAGGATGCTTATCCTCTTCCGCAGATCAATGCGATTCTGGATCAACTAAGAGAGGCTAGATATATCCCCACTCTGGACCTCAAAGATGGATATTGCAGATTCCCCTGGCAGAAGAGAGTAAACCAGTCACTGCGTTCACTGTCCCAGAAAGAGGACTATTTCAGTTCACGGTCCTTCCGTTTGGGCTGCATGCAGCCCCTAGTACGTTCTAGCGACTCCTGGATAGGGTGATCGGCCCAGTACTGTCGTTCGCATTTGCATACCTAGATGACATGATGATCGTCAGTAAGTCATTACAAGAAAATATGGAACACCTAAAAATTGTTTTCGCGAGACTGCACGCAGCAAATTCGTTGATAAATCCAGACAAATGTCATTTTTGTGAGCAAGAGCTGAAATACCTAGGACATGTAGTCTGCCAAGAAGGCATGAAGACGAACCCAGATAAGGTGAAATTCATCCTAGAAATACCGCCACCTTGGAATCTCAAAATGCTGAGAGGCTTTCTGGGCGTGACCTCTTGCTACAGAGGATTCATTAAGGACTATGCTTGTATAGCGGCACCCCTAAATCAGCTACAACGAAAACTAACCAAATGAGAATGTACAATCCGCCAACAGGAAGCATTTGACACTTTGGAGATAGCCTTGACGATGTCCCCAGTGCTGGTCAATTCTGATTTCTCAAGAACCTTCTATCTTCGAACCGATGCCTCAGATGTGGGCCTGGAAGCCGTATTGATACAAATGATCGATGAACAAGACCGTGTGGTGGCTCATGCTAGTAGGACACTAAATGAAGTCGCAAGAAAGTATTCAGCTACGGAAAAGGAATGTGCGGCCATCGTCTTTGGGATTCGTGAAATGAGACCCTACCTGGAAGGCTACCATTTTGTCGTTATAACGGACCACCAAAGTTTGCGATGGATCAATTCAATAGACTCACCTACAGGACGAATAGCGAGATGGGCCCTTGAGTAATAACAATACGACTTCGAAGTCAAGTACCGCAAAGGAGTACTCAATGAAGTGGCAGATGCCCTTTTCAGACAACCGTTACCAGAAGAAATGCTAGAGGAAGAGGCGGAGGTTATGCTCATCGCGGGAGCCGAGGAATGCGAATGATATAGTCGTTTAATGAGGGAAGTCCAAGAGGATTTGAAAAAACATCAAGATTTTTGTATCGTTGAAGGACAACTATATCATCATTTCTGGGACCGAAACGCGATCAACGAACCAGATTTCACCCCCGAGTGGAAGTTGTGTGTGCCAACACCCATGAGGATAATTATCATGCAAGAAAATCATGACGCTCCAACCGCAGGACACCTAGGGGTATGTAAGAATATCACACGCATCACGAGGAAATATCACTGGCCAAAAATGATGAAGAAGATCGCTCAGTACGTACGCAGTTGCCAGAACTGTCAACGATACAAACCCGAGCAAATACAATTGCCAGGAAGAATGCAACCAGCCACGTATCGCGGTCCTTGGGATACAGCCGCAGTAGAAATCGTAGGAATTTGAGGAGCTGCTGGAAACATATGGCGTCCGGCACCAGTTGACACCCTCCTACACGCCACAATGTAACTCAGTTGAGAGACCGAACCGAGTATTGAAGACAATGATAGAACAATACATAGCACTGCAGACTGGTTAGGGAAAGGTGTTTCCGATTTTTCCTGAAGAGAAAAGTTGTTTGAGTCCTTGGGATGAAGAAGACGTTTTTATTTTGGAAAATTTTTGTTTCCAGATGTCTCCTAACCAAAAAATCTTTCTGCAGTGCCAGCCCTTCTTGGGCGTCGAGGCCCAACTCAAAATTGGATACCATCCAAAAGAAAAAATAAAAATTTTTAACAGTGCATCACGGGGCTGGGTGCGCATGCTCCTGCTCCCAGTTCCGTTTGGCGCGTTGCCGTCTCTGATGGCGCCTGCGTGCTGCCACCGGGAGTTCAGGGGTCGGTACCCTCTTAGGGGGTGACTCTGCCTCTTGCGAATCTTCCTCTCTCGCACGGAAGGGTAGGGTGTCATCGACACTCGCGACCTCCTTATGTGAACCAAATTCTACTTCGATTTTTCGGAGGGTGTCGAAATCCACCAGCTCCAGGCCGTCCGAGTCAGGTGATGACTCCTTCGGGAACTCCACTGACATCACGGTTCTCTCTCTTTTCACATCTTGTGGCCATTCGGCAATAATTTCGAATTCCTAGTCGGAAGTCGTGTGCTTCTGCTCTGCTGTTTTCTTGCCTTCTACAAGCACAATATTTTGGACTATCTGGATCTGAGGCGGTTTGGCGGCCTGTCTGGGTCGCAGTCTCTCTGGATAGCATTCGTCCCGGTACGCCATCGCTCTTTGGTTGGCGTTCAGCGCCCAGTACCCTTGCTCCACATTATGAATGGCGTCCCGATACATGAAGCCAGTACGGCTGCTTGGATTGTCGAGGTCGAACTCCATCTCTCACACGGTCGACGATAGACTGGCAAGCACCTGTCGGTGCGTGTTGTTTCATATGCCCAGCGACTCCTCCTCTACCTCCGTTGAAATACGTGCGCGGGCACTCGCCACTTCCATCGCACCGTATCCCCTTCACTATTGGTACCGTAAGGTCATCCGTTCTTGTGGCACGCAGACTTATCGATGTTGCCAACGTTGCCATCTTTCCTCGGGTTTCAAATTCCGTGAATACCCAAACTTCTACCCTAATCTTCTTATTTCCTTTTCGCACCCAGCTGGGGAATAGATTATTGAGCGTACTGGTTTGATGTCTTCGACATGGGCGGTTATTGGCCGTCCTCCCTTCAAGGGTCGTAGTCAAAAAACTACAGGTGAGTCTACTCTCATCTACCGGTGAGGACCTTCAAATTTTGGTGCGAGTTTGGCGTTGAAATGTTGTGCGGCCAAAGATAGGTGATGTGTGCGGCACATCACTAGGTCACCCCATCGCGGGGACCGTAGGTTATGATATTCGGTCTGTACTTCGGTTGCTCTGGTTAGATTTCTTAGTGCCAGTTCATGTAGATCCGATAGTTTCTTCAGTCTCTCAACAAACCGGTCTGGTGCTTCTTCGATACTAGGAATTTCCTCCTGCAGCCGTGGTCCCAGAGGGACTAGCTTACGGCCAAAATTCATCATAGCCGGTTTATATCCTGTGGATTCCTGCACTGCTGTGTTGATAGCGAATTTCAATTTCGGTAACCAGCGATCCCATGTTTGTTGTTCTCCCTCGGTGTATTGTGCTATCATTGTTTTCAATACTCGGTTCGTTCTCTCAACTGGGTTACATTGTGGCGTGTAGGGGGGTGTCAACTGGTGCCGGACGTCATATGTTACCTGCAGCTCCTCAAATTCCTCACTGACAAGTTGCCTGCCATTATCAGTGATTATCACTCTGAGTTCTCCAAAGTTTGAGAAAATCTTTCCATTCATCGCTTCGCAGACTACTTTTGCGGTAAAAGATCGGACTGGTCTGCATTCCACCCACTTGGTGAAACGATCAAGAAAGACTATGAAATACGCATTTTCCTCCTTCGAGCGAAGTAATGGCCCTACGATATCCACTGCGACTGTATCCCAAGGACCGCGATACGTGGCTGGTTGCATTCTTTCTGGCAATTGTCTTTGCTCAGGTTTGTATCGTTGACAGTTCTGGCAACTGCGTACGTACTGGGCGATCTCCTTTACCATTTTTGGCCAGTGATATTTCCTCATGATGCGTGTGATAGTCTCACATACCCCTAGAAGTCCTGCGGTTGGAGCATCATGATTTTCTTGCATGATCATTATCCTCATGGGTGTTGGCACACACAACTTCCATTCGGGGGTGAAATCTGGTTCGTTGATCTAGTTCCGGTCCCAGAAATGATGATATAGTTGTCCTTCAACGATACAAAAATCTGAATGTTTATCCAAATCCTCTTGGACTTTCCTCATGAGACGACTATACCATTCGCATTCCCCGGCTTCCCCGATAAGCATAACCTCCGCCTCTTCCTCTGGAATTTTTTCTGGTGACGGTTGTCTGGAAAGGGCATCTGCCACTTTATTGAGTACTCCTTTGCGGTACTTGACTTCGAAGTCGTATTGTTGTAACTCGAGGGCCCATCTCGCTATTCGTCCTGTAGGTGAGTCTATTGAATTGATCCATCGCGAAATTTGGTGGTCCGTTATAACGACAAAATGATAGCCTTCCTGGTAGGGTCTCATTTTACGAATCCCAAAGACGATGGACGCATATTCCTTTTCCGTAGCTGAATACTTTTTCTCGAGTTCATTTAGTGTCCCACTAGCATAAGCCACTACACGATCTTGTCCATCAATCTTTTGTATCAATGCGGCTCCTAGACCCACATCTGAGACATCGGTTTGAAGATAGAAGGTGTTTGGGGAATCAGGATTGACCAGCCCTGGAGACATCGTCAGGGCTATCTTCAAAGTGTCAAATGCTTCCCGTTGGCGGATTGTCTATTCCCATTTGGTTTGTTTCCGTAGTAGCTGATTTAGAGGTGCCGCTATACGAGCATAGTCCTCAATGAACCTTCTGTACCAAGAGGTCACGCCCAGGAAGCCTCTCAGCATTTTGAGATACCGGAGTGGCGGTATTTCTAGGATGGATTCCACCTTATCTGGGTCCGTCTTCATGTCTTCTTGGCAGA